GGTTGTTATTCTTCTGTACCTAATTCATTTGTTTGTTATTGACTTTTGCTCAATTAAATTTCTTACATATACATTGCAAATGGTATTTTTATTATAGTTGATCATGTTGTTTTTCATGTCTCCTTATGTCTTTTGTTCCTCCTATAATTGATGGAGATATATAGAAATTATTTATAATGTATACAGGTATTGTTTGCATTTAATTAGCTCTACATCCTTAAGAAAATTTAAAAATATGTTGTTTTATAATGCCAGTAATGCCAGAATTAATAGTAAATAATAAAGACTTTGTGGTATTCTGATTTAGTAATGTAATTATATTGGTTGTGTTACCACCCCCACGCCACTAGAGGCAGTCGCAAGTCCAAAAGGATGCACCTAAGGAGCAGATTTAGAAGTACACCGAAAGCTACAGAATTTGCTAAAAACTGTGAGTTGCCGTGAAGTAAATAAATGAGAGAAGTTCAAATACATTCTGAGAGTGAAACTCCTTCCTAAAGGTGAAAATATATCACAGATTTCAAAAGAAAATAAAAACGGAAGTATAGGAAATAGCGCCCCCTTCACTTCCGGATTGCAATGGTCCCATTTCCAAATAAGGTATGAGACTGACAATGGTCCATCCCCGCCCCTTTCTGTTTGCTGCAGCGAGGTGTACTTGTTTTAATAGGCGCTTTCTTCTTTTATTCTCAATTTTGACTTCCAATGATTCACTTCCTGCTAAAGAGCCCCCTGGTGGTTGAAGAAAAATCCACATATAAGCCGTACAGGGCTATAAGTCGCATGGTTCAAAGCTTAGGAAAAAAGTAGCAGCTTATAGTCCGGAAAATACTGTAGTTGTTTTTAAGACTAGTTGCGGATTTAAATAGTGTTTCACTGGTGATGTTATCCAGTAATATTTTTACTTTTCCTGTCTACTTGGCATCTTTAATACAAAAGCACAATGGACTGCTGGTAGACCGCCTCGGCGCCCCGATCACTGGGCTTAGCAAGTTTTCTGGGGGAAACCCTGGAATAGGTTGTGCCATTGACAAGCTTGCCATTGAGCTCGTCAATGGCCCAAAATCAAACAGTGCCATGCAAAAGCATTCAGACCTCTTTAAGGTTTTCCCATTTTGTCACAACCACAAACCTTTATATATTCATGTATATCAGGCGATAATGCGATATCAACACATAGTAGTGCCTTTAATGTATGGGTCAACTGACTTTGCCTTCAAAAAACGGAAATTGTTGCCAATGTTCTTTGAAAAATATCTCAAGCTCAAGTCCGTTTTCAAGCCTGGTCCCAGACTCTCCATTGGCTTTAATTGTGAACTCCGATCGGCCCATTCTAATACATGAAAATTCTTTGACATGAAACCATTTCATTGCAGCTCTGGCTGGATGTTTGTCCTGCAGGTCGGTAAATATCTGCCCAGCCTCAAGATTTCTGAATCCTCCAACAGGTTTTGTACCAGGAGTGACCTGCAGGGGTGATGTCTCTGTCTTGCTGAAGAAAAGCATGGTGCTGCTGGCCTACACTCTAACAGCAGAGATGTAGAATGTTAAATGTTGCCATCCGCTGGTGTTTTGCATGAAAGAAAAGCTGGTTCATCTTAGCCTCTTCTTCCATATCATACATCATTTCACTGGGAAATGGGCTTCTCAAGACCAGTTGTGTGCAGTGCATTACTAATACTTATTCTCCCACCTGAGCTCTCAGCAGCTCCAACAGTGATACGAAGGCACTCCTGGCTGATTCTCTTGTTAATGCTCTTCTACTCCAAGCTGAAGTTTTGCCATGTTGTTTACATTTTCAGATGATAGATCAATAGGAGCTTGTTGAGATGTTTAAGACTAAGGATATTGTTTTCTCCTCGATCTGTCTGCTGTGTTCTCTAGCCTTCTTCATACCGTTTGTTCGCTAATGTTCTCTAACAAGTAAACATAAAATGCAAACAGAAGGAAGTCGGTTCAGCAAACTGGGTTATTAATGCACATAAATATCCAGTAGAAAAGAATCCAGTTAAATGTGTATGTCCTGAAGTGTTACTTACTCCTCAAGGTAGTTAGGCACTTGAATAACAGGGTCTGAAATATATTTAAAAAATATTGTTATAAAAAATCCCACATTAACAATGAGAGACAGAATGAATACCACTAATACACGTATGTAAACCTTCTCTTAAAGTCCACTTGATGTCTCCTGTCTGCTTGGAGATAGCATGCAGACTGCCATCCAGGGTGGAGACAAACAGGAGGGACTCTGGGAGTGTGACTGATCTGACTCCTCCAACCTGAAGGATTAAAAAGGAAAGAAAAGCTTTTTCAGTTGAGAAAGATGTCATATCCAAAGATTTTACCAAACTTTGAGTACTTGATGAGTGAGTGTGAATGGGAGGGGCTGTAATAACTGCGTTGTGTTCCTTATTTAGCAGGATATGCTCCCTACACTCACCACAAATAAAACACACAATGGTAAGAGTTTTTATAAGTGTGTCTCATGTTGATATTTTACTGATGACAAATTTCATTTGCTATACTATTTTTATAGTATGGGAAAGTCACTTCATCATTTAAGGCCTTATATATTCAATATTTATATTGAATATTTCAATATAAACATAAAATTGCAATGTTTTGGCAGGCACAAGAACTAAAGAAAAACAGCTTAGACGTGGCCAAAGAAAAACACTGAAAGGCATTCAGAATGTCTGAAAAACCAAAGATCAACTCTGATTTAAAGGAACTAGCAGAGCTTTTTCTATAGTAAAACATAATAAAACTTACTTTAGATATACTGTCACCTAAAAGCAATTTGTTTTGAATTTTTTCTATATTGTTGTTTGATAAAATAGTATATAACCACTCAAAATTCAGTTTCTTTTGCATATGCCTCAAGTGACACAACATATCAAGGCTGTTTTGTATGCCTATACAAAACAGACATACAAAACAGCTTTTGTATTTTTCTGTTATTTTCTTGAATAACAGTAAAATAAATAAACAAACAAATCACTAAATACACTCAGGTGAAAAAAATTTATATTTTAGTATATTTCAAACATACTTAAATTTGTGAAAGTACACTTTAAGTATACTAAGTATTAAGTGTACTACCTATAAGTATATCTGAAGTATACTAAAAGTACACTTGTACCAATTTCGAAATTAGAACTTTAAACACACTTAAACATAATTGTACCAAAATACACTTTTAATATATTAAATAAAAGTATACTTTAAGTGAACTAAATATGAATGAATATGTATGAATTTTTAAGTGCCTTAATAATCTTTTATTATTTGTTAAAATTGCATACAATAAAAAAATGATAATCATGAGTTAATTTTTAAGAAAGTACCCAATCCATTTTCATATGTGTGATGTAAAACCTTATAATCAACGGCATTAGCTCCAGTTCATACTCTATGGAGTGAAAATAGTCTCAAAATATCTGTGCGTATGTAAAAAGATTTGTGTGTGTGTAAAATGATTTGTGCGTGTGTAAAAAGATTTGTGTGTGTTGTCGAGAAAAGTCGAGCTCATCCCACTTCCCCATGCTGGAGATTTTAGTTTAATAATAACAATAAATAAAGTTATCTTTAAAACTGATTACACAGGTGACATCAAGACCCAACAGTAGAGTCAGACGGTAATAAAATTAATCTGGTTGTGTGTGTTGTTATTGTGTCCTGCTTTAATTCTACTTTTTTCTATTTAATCATAAAAAATCATAGTCAGACGGAGAGAGTTATGAAACAGGAAGAGCAGGTTTCCTGGAGAAAGAGGGAGTTTCCAGCCTGCAGTGATTAAAAATAGTTCAGATTGCTCATTCAGGGCATTAAAGGTTTAAAGAATAAAATCTAAACATTTTGAGTAATTGGCTAAAACCCAGAGTAAATATGATAACTTATGATTAAACCAATAATTAATATTGGTTTAACCAGGGGTTGATGTTGGTTTGATTATAAGAATATTTACACTTACTCTTATATGTATGGAAGTACTTACAGGTGAAAGAAGTAACTGTAACATGGTATCAAATGATTGGAATAATGGATTATTCTTGGTTTCTTTTCAGAAATGTCTGTAATAACTCACATCATGATTATAATAAGAGTAACTAATAAGTTATGGTTATTATAAAATTATAAATGAATGCTAAATCAGAGAAACTAAAAGGTTATAAATGTGATTTTGACATTGAACTTGAAATGGTGTAAAATGTGTAACTGTAACTAAAGGTCACTGATGTTGTGTTGGAGGTAGATGGTAAGTGAAAAGTCAGGGAGAAAGAGGAACTGATAGGAGAACAGAGGTGACCAAGACATTAGGTCATTAGAACAGACATCATGTCACCAAGACGGTGATGGATATGAGATCATCTGTCCAAGCAGTCAGTACAGAAGAAACAGGAAGTGAGATTTTTGAGATGCATGAAGGAAACAGGTGCAGAAGGCAAACAGAGAACTTCAGAAAGTACAGCTCCAAGGGAACAAGGAAGTTCATCTGAAGTTGAGGCCAACCAAAAGGCAGTTGATGTCAAGGAAAAACGTACGTGAGGAAAGTTGTGTGGCTGCTGACAAGAAATAAAAAGACACCAGACAGAAGGATCGGGGTTCTTTGTTCCGCAGCGTTCGAGTCGAGCAAACGGAGATGCAGAATCAACGGAGGGCTGCGTGATGATACCCCTGGATGACTGCTCGCTGCACAAGGAAGGAACAAGATCCGTTTACCCACAACCCGGGATTCTGATTCGACCGTGGCCCCAAACTCAACCCAAAGGATTACAACGATGCTGCAGTGGACATGGAGAATATACCAAGATCTTTTGTGGATAAAGAACTGAGTTCGTTGAGGATTCTCACCAGTTCAACTTTGGATCTATTCTAAAAGGATCCTGCCAAGACAAAGACAGGACTCCATCCATGGACGTTAAAGGTTTCTGCTGCGAAGATCGTCTCTGCATCTGGGTTTGAGTAATACTGCCTCCCCCAAAGCCTCTATTTAGATTAAGACACAGTGTAGGGTTAGAAGTAGGAGTAATTTATAAAAATTCTTAAAAGTATTAATTTCTTAATTTTTATTGAAATGCTGTATGTCTTTTTCCCTTGCTAAAGCTTGCTAATAAAAATACTAAAGTCTTATTGATGCTGTGGACAGTTAAATTAATTGAGTCAACTAAAAATTAATTCTGATTAATGTGAAATCAATGTTAATGGTCCTAGTAAATTAGGGTGGCTTCGTACGTTCTTTAGTTCAGATAAATAATGACCCTGGGACTTATTCCTAGTCGCTAAAATTATCTAAGCGGTAAGAAGTGCACGTTAATAATAGAGGAAGAGCTGCCGTGAACAGATGTGGTTTATGAGCTCGGACACCGGCGGGGCTACTCCGATGTCTGAATCATGGACTGAAGCGGGTCATAACGTCTGGATGAAGGTAGTTAGAGCTTAGACGAATCTTTCTCGCTCCCAGCTTAAACAAAAGTTCTCTACATTCTTATTTGCGGTAATACCCAGGAATTAGAGGCTTTTCGGACCCGTGAGATGGAGAGCTGGTCAGTAGTCAGTCCGCTGGAGGTTAGGAGGAGTTAGGGGCGTGGCTGAATACTGTGGATTAACAGTGCGTGCGCACGCACACACACACACACTTACACACACACACACAC